AAAAGTAAAAAATCCTTTCAGTAATTAGAAAATTGGCTATGAATAATTATGACCGTTCGTGACCGAACCCATCCCTAGGCTAAATGAGCTGTCGATGAAATGATTGTCGGTGAAATGATACGGATCCTTTTTTAAAGCCAAAAGCTTTTTTTTTATATCTTTGTTGTGTGTTCGATTTAACATTCTTGCATTTTGGTGAAATATTTAGGCAATAAAGATGAATACATATAATAAATATTTTTCTATGTTCTATACATGACAAGTTTATTTTTTATAGTAATCAGTTACTATTTATAAAATTCTACTTTATTATACTTTCTTTACTTACTTCACAGTTATTATAAATTAAGTAGTCGATTCTCAATTGAATTAAAATCTGAAGAATTTACTTATTAATTACAAAATCATTTCTAATATTTACATTTAGAATCCTTGCACTATCATTTATAATATATTATTCTAATTTTAAAGCTATAATTCATTATTCAAATAAAAGCTGGCAGCCTCATAGTACAAATGATTAAATTTAAATATCAAAATAAGAATATCCCTCAATATCTATAAATTCCTGCTTAATTATTTTCAACATTCTACAAAAGCTTCTAACAATAAAATGCCAAGCATAACCATTTTTGATTACCATGTATCTTCCAATCAACCAAACCCTCTCACGTTTTCTTTGATACTCATCTTCCGAAATTGAATCCAATATTTCATTAATCCTATGAGCCTCACTACGTCTAACTCTAACTATCATAGAATCCCAATCAATATCATCTTCAAAAGGTTCAATAATTCCATCAGCAATTACGACAGGAACCACACCAAACGAAAAATATTCCCATATACGGGTAGTATCTAATGTCCATCCAGATGGCGTCAAACCATATTTTGATCTCGCAAGTAATTTAGAGTATTCAACGGTTTCTGATGATTCTTCGATATCCCAACCAGGTAATCCTTTCAAACCATTAAATATTATATGTCTAACGCCTTCTGAATAAAAATCTGTCGCATTAACGTTTGCGCAACATCCTCTAAAAATTCCTTTAATATCTCGACTTGGATTACCATTTTCATCAATATATTCAAGAGGATCTACAAGATAAGAATCTAATATTGGTGTAGCACTTGGTATAACTATATTTTTATATCTTCTAAATGCCTGACTATCTAAATTTCGTTTATCACCGATTATTGTCAGATATATCGCATTGCTGAACATTTCTCTTTTCTCGTAATAATCATCAGCTCTATCCATTGGATGTATCATAAAATGATCTGCCCCTTTGGTTTTATTCCAGTAAGTAAAATTTTGAATAATATAATTCATTAATGGTTCCAAATAAATTGAATCCACTTGACATCTTTTTGTTTGATTCCAATTGTTGTTTATCCAACAATTGAATAGATAACAACTTCCAAAAAATGGAATGTAAAATAAATCAGCTTCTTCGGGATTTTCTGTGACATATAAATCGTGAGACGATGAATTTGGTGCCGAGAGTTGGTCGAATAGAATTAACTCTGCGTTGTAACTTGAGAACCTACACTTTTCCTTTTGAGAATCGTCAATTTGGATAGTTGATGGGATTTTATATATATATATTTTCGGTTTACATATAGCATAACCTTTATTATAAATTTAATTTGATAGTAAAAAACAATTTAATACTTATATGATTAATATTTAACTGATCAAAATGATTCAAATTTCACAGAGAAACTTACGAAGGTCTGGTGGCCAAACTCTCCATTTATCTTGTATAAGAGGTAATTGTGATATTGTTAATGTTGAATTTTCTGAATTTTTATTATTAAAATTAACAATAACTACTCGCTGCGTCAGATATAAGACAACAAAACCTAATACATAAAGCACCAAAAACATGAATAATTTGAGCTTTTCCATGTTATTATTCTTTTTTTTTACATAAAAATACCAGGATTATGATTGATATGAACGAGAGTTATACTACAGGTTCAAAAAATCGATAATTACTATATACGAGTTAACACTGATTGGAGAATTTAATGAAGTGGCAATTTATAGATCCATACAGTACTACGGGAAAATGAAAAGAATTGTATGGTTATATAAAATTGGTGTAATGTTACAATTAACAAAATAGTATTATAAATAAACATCATGTAACTGAATACGTACCTAGGGCACAAAATTTCCGAATGCCGGAAGCTGCTTTTCTCCGGCGGTGTTTATTTTAACCGGAACTTAGAAAACTCAGCCGAATGTACGTAGCAGTTTTTTAATAATGATATTGTAATATTTGTTAATATTTATATACATACGTATATATGATATCATATTCGGAAATTTTCCGACTTATGAAAAGTCGAGGCGGAAATTGTCATGATGAAACGGAAATCTCCGAAATTTTACAATAGATTTTGTGCTCTGATATATTAAAAATGTTTACCGTATTTTCGCGTAATAACGCTCATAAGCGTTATTTAGAAAATTGCAACCCTTAAAAATACCACATATAGTTTCAAAATAACGCCCATGCGCGTCCCTAAATAACGCGCATATTATAGTATTTTTAATAAAATATAAAAAGTGCATCGAAAGTAGATTTGGTACTAAGTA